GCGAGCTGGTCTGTCTGATATTTTTTTCTTGGTCTTCCAGATCTTGCTTTAACTTCCACTGTTCCTGATGACTGCCATTTCTTAATTACATTCCGAACAGAGGATATTGACATCTGAAAACGCTTTGCTATCTTCTTATAGCCTTCTCCCAGCTTTGTGAGCGTCAACTATTTTCAGTTTCAGTTTTCTAGACAACTGCTTAGAATAACCCATGGTGCTGATTGTTGGGGCAAGGTCAGATGAGTCTGGGCATTTAAAACCTTTGAGATTGACATCACCTGGTCTTCCCAGACGATGATTGAGAACAATCCATGACACTGGCAGGTCTCAGCTTGGCAAAGGGGGCAGTGCATGCTATAAATTCTGCAGGGTGCCCAAACTTTTGCAGATGCCATTTTTTTGTTTTCTGTTATTTTGAAAGTGTAAATGATGGAAATTAAATCCAACTTTTGTTGACATATTATAAGAATGTCTAATCTGTAATTTGATGCCTTTTGGAGATTTTTTCCATCTTTCCTTGGCTTCTTTATGCAATTAATACAAATTTTTAGCTGGGGTGCCCAAACTTTCGACACCCACTGTATGTGAACCCAGGCTCACAGTTTTGTTAAATCCTGCCAAACATGTCCATAGCAGGATCACACTGGTCAGCCCTGGAGATCCAGATGTAAACTGGGTGCTGACTGCTGCCTTCAAGCAGGAGGTGAAGCTATGTGCTTAACTTTATCGCTGTCAGAGCCGCTGTTGCGTTTTTTTTTTTTTTACTATTTTGGGCATGAAGACTACTTAAAACCCCAGAACTTGATATATTTTTCTAAAAGTGGAGACCCTGGAAAAAAAATACTGGTAGTGCCCATTTATGTCGCATGATATTAGTGCAACAGTTTTATCAGGCAAAAAATTTCAGTATAAAGTGCACTAAAGAGAGTGGAAACCTGGTTAAAAAAAAATGAGGAACAGACATGATTTTTAATGCAGAAGAGATTTACTAAACCTGGAGCACTCGGAATCTGGTGCAGCTGTGCATGCAGTGGTGTATGTAGGCAACACAAAAATCTGAGGCCCCCCCCTAGAGAGGAGAGAGACTCGCCATCAAAGCTCTCCGGAATCTGGGCTCCCCTCCTGGAGTCTCTCTCTGTGCTTTCACCTGCCACTTGGAGCCTCCTCGGCATGACGCAGGACCACCAGCGTCCCTTCTTCCGGGGGAGCTGCGACACCCCATTGAAAATTGCAGCCCAAGGCAAAAGCCTTGTTTGCCTTGTTGCAAATACGCCCCAATGTGCATGGTAGCCAATCAGCTTCTAACTTCAGCTTGTTCAATTAGGCTTTGACAAAACCTGGAAGCTGATTGGTTTCTGTACAGAGCTGCACCAGATTTTGCACTCTCCAGTTTTAGTATATCTCCCCACGCAGTATGCAATGTTCAATTTACAATTTCAGCAGGGCCAAGAGGAATGAACTCCCTGTGCATGCATCAACTCAGCCTGGCCAATGAAAACAGCCGCACTGCTATCAGAAAGCAGAATGGCTAAAGATGTCGGGCACTGGGACACTGCAGCGCTGGCGTAAAGGTGAGTATTGTTCTGCTTTAACCACTTGCTGCCCTCCCACAGTACATTTTACTACGGGTGGCACGGGCAGGCTGGATCACATACATGTACGTCATCCAGCCTGTTCAGGTTAAAAAATCCAGTATGCAGTATATACCGCCATTTGTAGACGCTATAAACATTCACGTAAATCAATTAATTTACACATATTTAAATATTTTTTACCAAAGACGTAGCAGAATACGTTTTGGCTTTAATTTTTGATGAAATTTGATTTTTTAAATTTTTTTACTGGATGTTTTATAGCAAAAAGTCAATATAGTTTTTTTTTTTTTTTCAAAATTGTTCTTTTTTTGTTTATAGTGCAAAATATAAAGAACACACAGGCAATGAAATACCACCAAAAGAAAGCTTTTTTTTTGTGGGAAAAGGACCTAAATTTAATTTGGGTGCAGCGTTGCATGACCATGCAATTGTCGGTTAAAGTAACACAGCGCCGTATCACAAAAAATGGCCTGGTCAGGAAGGGAGGTAAATCCTCAGGAGGGCAAGTGGTTAATATGTAACATGTTTAGTTTTTTACAAAGCTTTTTTTGTGGGAAAAGGACCTAAATTTAATTTGGGTGCAGCGTTGCATGACCTTGCAATTGTCGGTTAAAGTAACACAGCGCCGTATCACAAAAAATGGCCTGGTCAGGAAGGGGGTGAATCCTCAGGAGGGCAAGTGGTTAATATGTAACATTTTTTCCTTTTTTACAAAGCCAAGGTAAGCGGCTTAAGAAACCTTCATTCTTGAACTTGGGTATCCTGCCATGTACAAATTATGGTTATTTACATATAAAAATCCTCCACGTGCCCTTGGCAGAAGCTTAGTCACAGTATAGCTGGCTTCAGCGTGATTTTGTTATCAGAATCTTATCTGTAAAGCAAGGTTTTGTTCTCCTTCTGCTAACACAACGCTGGCGACGTGACCGGTGATGCTGACGCGGGTTTTCACAGCTGAGCGAGCATCAAAACATTGACGCTCTAGATCCTTGATAAACCCAAAATACCATTTTTATTTTCTTAATTACAATTAATTGCTTTTTATTTAGTCTACTTTTATATACTGTATTTTTCCACAGCAGATTGCTTTTTAAAAAGTTTCAAATTTGTTCTTGATGAGGATTGGCGTTTTCAGAGAGAAAATAGGAACCCCACACAGGGCAAAGCAACAACTTCACTTTAAAGCAGACCTTGGACTAGAAAGCAAGGTCCACACATTACATCAGGACCTCCTTCCCCTTTGAGAATTGCTTATGATGAATGTAGAAAAACTCAACTGTTGGGGGCAAAGGTTAAAATGATTAAAAAGTTGAAGAACATACTGTATACTTGCCTACCCTCCAGCTTAAGTACAGTGCCCAGGTGTCCTTTTGGCGAAATCCTGGGAATGACGAGGATCCCAAATCTCATGGAAAGATGCTTTTTTACTGTGTTGGAGCCTTTTTTTCATGAAATTTGGTATACTCCCCATTCCTCTGGATCTCATTGGAAGGACAATGATGTCACCCTGTCCAGTGTGGAAGATGGAGGTAAGGCAAGTATGTATTCTAACTTTTTACACCACAGTGCTTTTCAACATTCATTAAATAGCAATTTTTAAAGGGGGCGAAGGCTCTGATGTAATAATTGGACTTTGCTATCTTGTGCAAGGTCCACTTTAAGGGTACTTGCACACAGTATTGATATATGAACATCAGATATTCCTGGCATTAAAAAAATGTGAGGATGGACTGGGCTGTATGTGTTCGTCAAAAGTTGACTATTAAATTGACTTCCGGGAATGGCCATTGATGGAATTTCAGCTGGTCCCTGCCGAACCAGACAAACTTCAATCCATCTATAGCCAACTTAAGACCAGAAGTGAGCAATATCTCTTCAGTGCAGGCAAACACAGTAATAAATGCATTTTGTAAAGCCAGAGTAGAGAACAGTTTTAACCATTGTCAGAAAATTGTTGCTGTTTATATCACCACTGAGAGATTCTTCTTACTTGTGGGGGTCACCAGGACAGGAAATGGGAACATTTCAGCAACAGATCTACAGACCGCAATAAGCCTAGCAAGGGTTCTTTCCCCATACTAAGCAAAACCAAACAAATCTGATTTGGCTGGAGTTGACGTGTGGGGCAGTGGCTAAATGGTTAGCACTTCCACCTGGCAGCACTAGGGTCGTTGAATTAAATTAGAACAGGAGTATCACAAACGTTCACCCCTCTCATGATTTTGGAGAAATTAGAATCTTCTTTTACACATTTGGGCAGCACAGTGGTTAAATGGTTAGCACTTCCATCTGGCAGTACTGGGGTCGTTGGTTCGAATCCTAACCATGGCATCACCTGCCTAGAGTTTGCATGTTCTCCCTGTGTCTGCATGGGTTATACTTTTAAAGCCCAATCTCACCTTTTAAAAATAATTAAATACGAACGTTCTTAAAATAAACAACACAGTGGCTAAATGGTTAGCACTTCCGCCTGGCAGCACTAGGGACGTTTAATTAAATTGGAACAGGAGTATCACAAACGTTCACCCCTTTCGTGTTTTAGGAGAAATTAGTATCTGCTTTTACACATTTGGGCAGCACAGTGGCTAAATGGTAAGCACTTCTGCCTGGCAGTACTAGGGTCATTGGTTTGAATCCCAACCATGGCACCACTTGCCTGGAGTTTGCATGTTCTCCCTGTGCCTGAGTGGGTTTCCTCCGGGTACTCCAGTTTCTTCCCACACTCCAAAGACATGCTGGTAGGTTAATTGGTTCCTGTCTACTTTGGTCCTAGTATTTGTATGTATGAATGTGAATTTGGGACCTTAGTTTGTACACCCTTGAGGGTTAGGGACTGATGTGAATGTACAATATATATGTAAAGTGCTGCGTAAATTGACGGCGCTATAGAAGTACCTGAAATAAATAAATAATGTTGGACTTTGCAAACGCTGGTATGGGTCCTTATTCCTTTCCTTCTGATTGTTTGCCTGGGGAAATGAGGTAGTCGATACATCAGACTCAGTTTCTGTCCTTCCTTGTGACAGTGCTCCTCTGTCATCCAGCAAATCAATGAAAAACCTGACAAAGGTTATAAGTTTCCTTCCATATCCAAAATAAAAACAAAATACATTTTGGCTGGAGTTGGGCTTTAATCGCTTGCCGGCTGGCCGCTGTATATAAACGGCCGGGCGGTGGCATTCCAGGGGCGGGTTGCCGTTCATAAATGGCACCCACCATTTTGGACTGTGCACGCTCCCTTGGAGCGCGCAGCACCGCGATCCAGTGACGGCTGTGTCCTCCGGACACAGTGGAACACCGATCATCGTACAGGACCTCTGTGATCGCATGCAGAGTAGTAGGCAAGATGTCACTTCCTGACACTGCTTACTACGTGTGAAATCTGTGAATGATCACAGAGGTCACATGGTACAAGGCTAATCACAACAGCCTTGTACCATGTGACCAGCTGTGACCAATCACAGCTCACACAGTATTTCTCAATGGCTGCAAGAATGCAGCCAAAGAGAAGGAGAAATGATTGCTTTTACAGCCTTTATGGGTGTAAAAGCAATCCGTGTAAAAAAAAAAAAAAAAAAAAAAGTTCATCACCCCCAGTATGTAAAAAAAAAAAAAAAAATCGTATAAAGAAATAAAATAAAAATGTAAAACTTTTTTTTAACCAATTCAATACCGTGCAATTTTACACCTTCCTGCCCAGGCCATTTTTCAGGTTTCAGCACTCTCACACTTTGAATGACAATTGCGCGGTCATACAACATTGTACCCAAACTAAAATTTTATCATTTTCTTCACACAACTAGAGCTTTCTTTTGGTGGTATTTAATCACCGCTGGGGTTTTTATTTTTTGCTAAATTAACAAAAAAAGAACAAACATTTTGAAAAAAACACGTTTTTCTTTCTGTTATAAAAGTTTACAAATAAATAATTGTTCTTCATAAATTTAGGCCAAAATGTATTCTGCTACATGTTTTTGGTGAAAATAACCCAAATTAGGATGTATTTTTTAGTTTGTAGGAAAGTTATAGAGTTCACAAACTATGGTATAGATCTGAACATTGATCAATCCTGAAGTACTGACAGCCAATCTAATTTCTTGAGGTCTAAGAATGTCAGAACAGTACAGATATCCCCAAATGACCCCTTTTTGCAGAGTAGACAGTCCGACGTACTTCATAAGAGACATGGCGAGTTTTTTGAAGTTGTATTTTTTTTTTTTGTCATTTTTCAGAAAATTAAAAAAATTTAAATAAATTATTTTCACTATTTTTTTTTTTACATACTGTCACCAGTGCAGTACAGCGTACTGGCATGGTGGTGATCAGGGACACTGACTGGTGACAGTGTGAAAAAAAAAATATTTTTTTAAATTTTTAAAAAATGTTTTTATTATTTTAGATTTTTTATTACATTTTTTTTCTTAAGATTTTTTTTTTTCATATTTCACTATGTCCAAAGTAGTACAATGTTACCATAGTAACATTGTACTACTTTGGGGAAGTGATCAGTATTTTTTTTTTTACACAATTTGCTCATAGCAATGAATTACTTTGCTATAAGCAAGCATTTACCCGAATGACATCGATTCATTCAGGGTTTTTTTTTTTTTGTGCTTAGCTGTGATCTGGCCACAGCTAATCACATGACATGTGCATGTGATTAGCTGTGACCATTTACAGCTAGACACTAGTATACAATGGATGGCATGAATAAAGCCATCCATTGTATACAACTGTCATGTGACCTGCTGTGATTGGTCACAGCAGGTCACATGGTACCGGCAACGGGGCCGATACTCAGATCTGTCATCGGCCGTGTCCGAGGTACATGGCCGGTGACAGATCGTGCCGCTGCGCGGCTCTGCAAGCGAGCGAACTGCGCATGTGCGGGAGTACGCTATATGGCGGCCTCCCGGAAAGCTAGTGCATTTTTCCAGTCGCCATACGGCTATTGGCCGGGCGTCAAATGGTTAAATTATCATTTTCGGTTATAAACTAATTTGTTTTTGTTTTGTTTTTTTTTACTAAAAAGTTAACTGAATAAATTTTGGCCAAGATTTATGATGAAATATTTATTTGCAAACTTTATAAGAAAAACACTTTTTAAAATTTTTTTTGGACTTTTCATTTATATAGCAAAAAAAAAAAAGAAAAATCCCAGTGGTGAATAAATACCACCAAAATAAAGCTTTATCTGTCTCAAAAAAATGCTAAAAAATTCATATGGGTACAGTGTTGCATGACCATGCAGTTGTCATTCAAAGTGTGATAGCACTAAAAGCTGAAAATTGGCCTGGGCAGGAAGGGGGTAAAAGTGTCCGGACTGGAAGTGGTTGAATATAAGTCAGTGCACACCTGCCATCATTTTATAGTGCCTCTGATTTGAAGTGGACTTGAAGTGGTTAAGTAATGACTTTCCTATTAAATTCCACAATAGTTTTTTTTTTTTTTTTTTTTTTGCAGTAAATCCTTCTTGCGGTATAAACTCCACAATGGACACAATGTCTCTTGGTGTCTAAGCAGGTCTTACAGAGCAGGCTGAATCCATTCAAGTCATTATCATCTGTAGAGTGTCTTGGCCCTTATCTGCCCCTTCTGCAATTATGTAGAAGCGGTCATGCCTCCGTGTCCTCATTCAGAGATCGCTGTCCTATTAAAAAGCGTTTCCTGGAAAAACAACACCATGGCACAGTACATTGTATACTAAGAGCATTATTATTGCACAGAAGGGGATTCCACTTGAACTGCTGTACTTAGCCAGGCCCGTGGCTAATTAGAATCGGAGTTTTCCTTTAATCCTCTTAACAGTGTAATAGCTTATAAATCTTTTATGACAAAGGAAGTGCATATGTTTAATACAGATATGTGCTAGAGGCCATTTGTTTTTAGAACAGCAGCGTAACAAAGTGTCATTGCTGAGCAATAAAACCCAGGAAAACTAAAAATGCAGTGCCTATCCTAGACTGATTTTTAAAACTGTTCTTTCAGTTAACATACTGGGGTTGATTTACTGAAACTGGAGAGTGCAAAATCCGGTGCAGCTGTGCATATAAACCAATCAGCTTCCAGGTTTTATTGACAAAGCATATTTGAATAAGCTGAAGTTAAGCACGCCATACATGGGTTGAATTCTCAACAATTTTTCGATCGAAAATCGAAAACATTGTTTGCTCTGTAATCGGTGCCACCAATAATTTCAAAAATCGGTCGTTTTCAACAAATTTTCCAGGCATGCCCAATAAACAAAATGGAGCGGAACCATGAAAATCGTCCGGTGCCATTGCCCCACTAACAGAGCGAAAATCGGCTGTTTATTCTTAGGTCTGATTTTCAAATGAAAAATCGACCCATGTATGGCCGGTCTTAGAAGCTGATTGGCTACTATGCACAGCTGAACCAGATTTTGCACTTTCCAGTCTTAGCAAATCAACACCACTGTATTGAAAAGGTGCCCAGAGGCACAAAATGCAGGAGGGTGTCAGATACTGGGCTTCCTTGTCATTGATGGGAAAGTGTTCATAGTTTCTCCAAAGCTTTAGGCTCCTTTTTTTACATGTTTTACATTTCTTAGCCTCTCTCTCAAAATAAGAATGTTTACAGGCATCAGTGGCTCAAGCTGAAATGTAAATGCATAACTGAGTCATAACCATGACCCCCTTCCCTCCTTCCCCATTGATATACTGTTTAGTAAAGCTGCACAGGGTTCCACTGCAGATAGCTTCTGTTGTTCTTTCTCTTTAGAAAACCTGAAATGTTCTGTGACACCACTGTTATAGGATTGCCCTGTATTAAAAAAAATTGTAACATTAATGTTTAATATAATAGCTAAAAAAAAAAAAAAAAAAAGGGCCAGTTCACACCACATGCAGTCCAGTGAGTTTTGTTATGCATCAAAAATGCATTGATAGTAGGTTACATGGCATAGTTCACACCAGTGTGGTCAGTTACAATGCATTCCAGTTTCAGAAAATAAAGTCAAACATGCTTCATTTTTTTTCTACACTGATTTGTACTGGAATTCACAAAAACGCATCAAAAATGCACCAGTACGTACCTGTCCTTTATTTAACTTGAAGAAAAAGAATGGAAGAAATGAACCAGAACTTATCAAAAACACACGGGAATGCATCAAAAACACACATAAAGAAATGCATGCAGACTGTGTTTCTATGGTGTGAACTAGCCCTGAAAAATGTTTTATTGACCCCCCCCCCAAAAAAAAAGAAAATTCACCCCAATACCACTATAGTTTCCTTTTAGAAATCATCTACTGCACAGGTGTTTATTAATGATTTATTTGTACTCTTCCCGCTTATTGTAAATGTCTTCCCTGTGAATAATTACATATCAAAGGACAACCTTCAATGCTAGTAAAATTGTATTGTACTATTTTTGTACCCCCCCAAAATACCTCAATATATTCTCTTGTGAGGCACCATGCATGAACCTATGGACAGGCCCATTTTCCTATAGATGGTTGTGTCTACCATGATTTGGGCCCCATCCATATGAATACAGTGCATCCAGAAAGTATTCACAGCGCTTAACTTTTGCCACATTTTGTTATGTTACAGCCTTATTCCAAAATGGATTAAATTCTTTTTTTCCCCTTAACATTCTACAAACAATACCCCATAATGACAACGTGAAAGAAGTTAGTTTTGAAATATTTGCAATTTTATTAAAAATAAAAAATAAAACAAAACACATGTACATAAGTATTCACAGCCTTTGCCATGACACTCAAAATTGAGCTCTGGTGCATCCTGTTCCCACAGATCATCCTTGAGATGTTTCCACAACTTGATTGGAGTCCACCTGTGGGAAATGCAGTTGACTGGACATGAGGCATAAACATGGCTATATAAGGTCCCACAGTTAACAGTGCATGTCAGAGCACAAACCAAGTCATGAAGTCCAAGGAACTGTCCGTAGACCTCTGAGACAGGATTGTATCAAGGCACAGATCTGGGGAAGGGAACAGGAAAATTTCTGCAACATTGAAGGTCCCAATGAGGACAGTGGCCTCCATCCTCCACCGGCCAAAATGAGCGATTGAGGGAGAAGGGCCTTAGCTAGGGAGGTAACCAAGCACCTGATAGTCACTCTGAAAGAGCTCCAGCATTTCTCTGTGGAGAGAGGAGAACCTTCCAGAAGAACAACCATCTCTGCAGCACTCCACCAATCAGGCCTGTATGATAGCGTGGCCAGACGGAAGCCACTCCTCAGTAAAAGGCAAATGGCAGTCTGCCTTGAGTTTGCCAAAAGGCACCTGAGGGACTTTCAGACCATGAGAAACAAAAACTCTCTGGTCTGATGAAATAAAGATTGAACTCTTTGGCCTGAATGCCAAGCGTCATATCTGGAGGAAACCAGGCGCCGCTCACCACCTGGCTAATACCATCCCTACTGTGAAGCATGGTGGTGGAAGTATCATGCTGTGGGGATGTTTTTTTAGCAGCAGGAACTGGGATACTAGTCAGGATCGAAGGAAAGATGAATGCAGCAATGTACAGAGACATCCTT